ATAAAAATACATGTTCATCTGTTTTATATTGTAGTATCCGATTGTAGAAAAAGAATTTTCATATATATTATAAATATCGCCATGTGTGTAATATAATCTTGATAACCTGATTATAAAGACCAACAAGTGTTGCACGAAGATAGTGTTTATAGATAGTAAAATTTAAGAATATATAAATATGTAATATACTAATATTTGTTCATTAGTAAGTAAGAATATAATTTTCTTCGTTGCGCAAGAAATTAGAATATTTTCTGTATCAAAATATCGTTATCAATCTTTAATTTAGGTGAAACAAATTAGTTTCAGTTTTGTTATACAGTCATTTCTTATTAACATACTTTAACTACCTAACGTCACTCATCAATAATTTTGTAAAATGAATTGAAAGTAATTACATTCTACACCTACATATAAAATCTATAAAATTAAATTATTTTTTCTTTAAATACGTTATTGCAATGGTAATGTGTAATAACCAATGATTCATAGACACTCCCTATAAATAAAATCGAATATTTGTTGTTTTCTTATTCTTGTTACCGTGTTACTATTGAGCAATGACAACAATAAAAGACAAATCCCTTTGCAGCACATGCAATATTGAAAGAGGTATTTTCGTATGTAATGGATGTTCACAATCATTTTGTTTACAACATACAACAAATCATTATAATGATATTGCTGATCAATTTACTGTGCTAGAGCAGACTCGTGACCAGGTTTTGCAAGACTTAAATTATGAAATGGTTAAACCTCAAGGTGATATAAGAGCATTACATGATGATCTAGCCAGTAAAATTGACATTTGGGAACAAGAATCAATCAGTAAAATTAAAAAAGCTGCAATACAAGCTAGAACTGATCTATTTAAATGTACAATTGGACATTTATCCTCAAAACGACTCGATCTAGAGCAAATAACTGATGAATTACAACAAGCTCGTAAAAGAAAGGATTTTATCGAAACTGATCTATCTGAATGGCAAAATAAACTAAAACAATTAAAAGAAGAACTTACTACACAACCAAATGTTATAGTTCATGAAGATTCTACAAAACTTATTTCTAATATACATATCAATGTCTTCGATGGAAAAGAATTATTTAACAGTTCAGCTGGTGATGCTGTTTTTGAAGAAAACGGAAAAGTTGTTTGCGTAAAAGCTAATCCAAATATGTATTCTGAAGTACGAGGTAAATGTGAATATACCATAGGAGAACACAGAATACTTTTAAAAATTGAAGAATTAAATGGATGGACTTTATTTGGTATTATCTCTAAATCTACTCCATTACAAGTTCATTCATATGCTTCACCTTCAAGTTACGGCTGGTATAATGGTTCTAATTATAATTATGCTGCTGGACAACGTATTAATGGAGAAGGTACTACTGCTCAAAAGAACGATACAATACAACTTGTGATCAACTGTGATAAAAAATTAATTCGATTAATAAACGAACAAAAAAATGAAGTATTAGAATTAAATGTCGATACTGATAAATGTCCGTTTCCATGGCAATTACATCTTAATCTTAATTTACCAACAACACGCATTCGAATCATTTCATAAGCAATACTAACACTTGTATTTTATTTATCTGACAGAAAAAAACAATACTAAAAAGATAAAGAACTTTTCTGTTCATTTACTAATATTTCTTTCTTTTTATCACGATCAAATAAAATTATTCGATCTATTAATTCTTCTTCTTCATGCTGAATATTTGTTGAATTTATTTGTATAAGATTTGATAATGCTCGTTGACCTTGTGTTGGTTTTCCAGTTATACTACGATATAATTCTTGTACATAATTTGTAATCATTGGAGCATAATGTTTTTCAAATAATTGATTTAATTGATGTGTATGAACTAAATAACGATGATCTAATGCTATTAAATATTGATCTTTCATTGATATATATTGTTCTTTCAATGGTTTATCAGTATTCTCAGATGGATAAATTAATTTAAAATATCGTTGACAACAAATGAATTTGAGGAGCATTTCTAATCGATGATCCCAATATGAAAATGAACGTAATGAACGTGGAAGAAATGACCATGATTGAAGTATTGATGGTAATTTATTTGGATTCGTTTTTTGAAAATAATTAATAATTAAAATAAAAATAATTAAAAGAAATAGACATAAGAGAAATAGAATTGCAACTAACCAATGAATTAAAGCAAGAAATAAAATAATTAATGGAAAAAGAAAAAAATTTATTATTAGATAGATTAAAGCAAACCAACGATATTTTGATACAATATGACCTATTTGATAACTTAAATATATTGGAATACGACGGAAATAAGGAAAGATATACCATAATATACAACCAGATAGATTAAATAAAAAATGAATTAATGCTATTTGAATAGATTGACGAAAGAATAAACCAGTTTGAGTTAGAGAAGCAAGAAATGCTGTTATTGTTGTACCAATATTAGCACCAATTGTTAACTCATAATTACGTTCAAGAGAGAGAACTTGAAGACCAACAAGTGGTGTTAATATTGAACAAAAAACACCTAAAAATTTATTTAATAATAATAAATCTATTCAATATAAGTAAAATCGGCGAAAGTTTAGGTGCGATTTGGCGTAAGCACAGCGAATTTCTCCCCACTGTAATAGCACAAGATTAGTATAAAATACATGTGATAGATTAATCTGATATTATCAGAATTAGCATATCATAGTATGGGTGAGTGTGGGTCTGGGTCTGGGTGCTCTCTTTAGATCAACAAGGGTCATTTATAACCTCACCCACTACTCACACCAGTCCGCCGCCGGTCTATTAATTAGACATACTCGAGTAGTTGTTAAGGAGATGATCAAGAGACGACACACCATTATCCGCCAACTTAGTTTAATAGTAATGGCACGATTAATTAAAGTTATAGCGAGAGCTGAATAATAAAAAGTCGGCCTAATTTTGCTTCATCCACATCAGTGAATTTTTCTAGATTTTGCGATCTTACCGAAATAGATTAGTCTAATTAACATTCTTAATATTTCTACAAAGACTTACTACTACTTTGAACAAGTATTGCTCCAAAAATTCCTATAATAATAAAAATGTATCCAAGTAAATATTCTTTCCAACCATAAGATTGGATATGAAGAATTTTTTTTAATGTATCATCAATAACACCAATAATCATTGATTTTAATAATCTAACCATCAATAAAAGTATTCCAGTAAGAATTATTAATGAACAAATAAATAAAATGATTCCAACAGTATAATCATTGAATTTTTCAATCATTGATCGAAATAAATATTTACATTTTATTAACTGTGGAGTACAATAGATTTTCCCAATTGTCTGATTTGTTTCATTACTTAATAGAACATTTTCATCAATTTGTATTATTAATTTTGTTAATGGTTTTGTAAGACTTTTAAGTAATTGAATATTAATTCTTTCTTTTTCAGATATTGTTATAGCAATAGCACCACTAACACGAGCTAAATAACCACCACCTAATCACAATGAATTAAACAAAACTTGTTATTTTTCATACGAAAATTTACGATGAAAAATATCGGAACTTGGCGTTATTCGATCAATTAAAATTTCCATTGGTAAAAGAATAAGTGTTGTTAAATAATTGAATACATCCATAAGAACACCTGATGAAAAACTACGAGAAAATTCATTTCGATTTCCTATTTGACTAAATGCAACTAATGTATTTGTTATAGATGTTCCTGTAACAGAAAGAAAGTCTTTTGTTTTTATGTAATTCAATTATCAAATTAATTTTATACGAGTTTGTATAAATTATCACGTACATTCATTTCGCCTACCTATATTTGCTCCTAAATAAAAAATACAAATAGAAATATATCAAATCAAATAAGAAAGAAATATTCTATTGAATATGAGAATTACGGGTCAAGTTAAGTGAGCTCCAAATTTGAAGTTTACGAGTTTCAAGTTCTCGATAACTTGTAGTTTGTACGTGAGCGCTTTTTTTCTTGAGCATCACCAGCCGACTCAGCACAGTTCAGAGTATCCGTTAGAGCAATCAAAGGTGGGTTATGAGATGGCAGATGCCCACATCCAATTTTTCGATATCTATGCATTAATCTTACCCATAATCATTGGTATAACTGAACGAATATCTGTGACAATTCCACTACCAACCAGTGACACAATAATTGATGTAACAGTTGATGAACTTTGTAAAATAGTTGTAATAATAATTCCAATCATAAGACTGATAATAGGATTTTTTAGAAATATGCGACTTTTAAATATTTGTCCAAAAGCCGATCGACTTAATAATGTAAATGCTGATGTCATTAAATCAAGTGTTATAATAAATATGTATAATGATAAAATAAAAGCAAAAATTCGTATTATAATATTTAATACGAAAAGAAATTTTTCTTTTTTTGGCATCATATCCCATGGTATTCTACCTGTTTGTCCATATCGATGAGCAACAAAAATCATTTGTATTTCATCGGTATTCAATTTTTCTTTTATTTCACTTAAACTTGCATAAAGTTTTTGTGTATATTCATCAGAATTATTTGGTAATGATAAATATGGTTGAACTATTGATCGATATTGTCCATTATTCATTTCTATCTATCAATGATTTGAAAAAAAGAGGAATTAGAGCGCCAAAAAAAAAAATTTTTTTTTATTTTAAATATATTTAAAAGAAGAATATTCATCAAGTAATTTAGCTGTTATATAGAGTTTTTTATCACGTCGATATTCTAATGTTAAACTTGGTAGATCAGTATTTGATGGTAATGTTATTTGTTTATAGAAATTAGTATTTATACCTTGAATAATAAGATCATTATCATTAATAGAAACTGTGAGGTCAGTTGGTTTATAATCAAGTACATCAAGTTTCATATCTATATATCGTTGATTACGATCATCAGTAAATATTTGTGGTTGAAATTCACTTTGATAAAATACATTAGAATCGAAACCCGGAGGAAAAGATGATGAATCATTATTACTAATAATACTATTTGTAACTGATGATGATGACGATGACGATGATAATATTGTATGATCTTCTTCCATAATACTTGATAGTACTGGACGAACTGAAGGCTGATGATGATGATGATGATGAGTATCTTGAGATGATTGAACACCTACAGTAGGAGTTGCAAGTCGGCGATGTACTTTTTTAACTATTTTTTTATAAATGTTAGCATTTTTATCTATGATAGGATTATCAGTTGATTCAGGAAATTTGTATGCTTCATAATTTGGATGTATAGGAGTAAGTGATGAACCTTTTGAAATAATAGAAATACGTTGAATTGGAATTGAAGTATTTCGATTCTCATGGAAAAATTCATTATCAGGAGATTGAGTACGTGGATTTGACATTATCTTATGATCATATGTATTAGTACTATATACTTTTATTGGTGATGTATAGCCACTTGATTGATTGAATCGAGTTGATGAACGTTTTGATGGAAAATCAACTTGCATTGTTACTGGTGACGGAAAACTAACATGTGGACTAAAAGAATTTTTTCTTGTAAAATAAACGAAAATATGCATAGACTTACCTTGACTTATCAACATCTGTTGGTAATTCATAAGATTTTTCTATAACTTTTCTTGACGTACCCTTAAAAAAATTGTGATATTTGTATTTTAATTTTCATAAAATTCAATTTTATTTACTTGACTTTTGTTTTCGATACGTTCACCATATACAAAAAGTCTAGTACCTTCCACTCGACAATGAACCTAATTATATTGAATAGGAAAGAATAAAAATAGAAATCGAAAAGAAAAACTGATTACATCATTTTTATCAAATCCTTCAATATTAATTTTCATACGAAATTTTTCTCGATCATTATTCGAATCATTTATCCATTGTGTTGTTGTATCTTTAGAATAAATTGCATTTTCACTATATTGTTCATTGAAGTTAGAATTCATATTTGGTGAAAAACGTTGAATTGGTATAGCAATTCGTTGTTTATATTCAGATGGTGATGATTCAGGAAAACGATACGAAGAAGATGACATGATTTAACTTTAGAGGGAGAAAAAAAAGCGTCTATTTCAAAGGTGTAATATACATATATATATGTATATGTTATTCATAGGTAAGACTAATGTAGTAACGATAATAACAAATTGATTTGTCGTAGTTTTTGTTGAGATTTTAAGGTACTGCAAGTATGAGAACGAATAATGAGAAAGAAATTAGTCTTTACACCTTTTTTTTATATACATTTCGAGACTAATGTTCATTTAGTGATGTATGTATTTCTCAACATCTCATCAAAAAAATACTATTTATTTTATTTTTAATCATAATCAGAGTGTTGAATTATAAGTTCTGCTGAACATATACCATATTTATTAAATTTGTAAATACCAGCAGTAATCATATTGGCAATACTAATGAGAAGCAAAGCATTTATAAAAAGTCTTATTACATTTGGTTATACACGAGGAGTTGATTTACGTGGAGCACAAGGGAATTGATTGATTTTCGACGAGATCTTGATCAACAAGAATTAATTTGTTGATAATTTAACTAACTTCTCATTGATATTTATAAACAAAATAATCAAATAGAAGTTATTTTTGTAACTCATAGTATGAGAGGTTAGACATGTTTTTTATTCGAGAAATAATTATAAGAACAAAGTAAAACATATTCGTTCGATGGTTAATATTGCTGCACCATGAGGTTGTGCTATTAAAAACAATATGTAAGTCCTACTCAGATATACTTTAGAAGATGAGTAGTTAACAAAAATCGGTTGTATAAAATATTAGTTTTTAATCAACAATCTATACACGGAAAAACATAATTGTAATGACCAAACGGTTCTTCAATGGAAAACTAGTGCAGAAGTGGCATGTGAAATTGAGCCCACTTCTTGATTTTTAACATGAAGAAAGCAGCTGACAAGCACGCCGTTCACTAATATTGTGCCTAGAAGCTTTTGTATACAATGATTGAGATTTATCAATCACGAAGAAGCCTGATCGCTAAATAGAGACAATGAAAGTCAAAACCGCTGACGTTCAACATTTCATCATGTAAACGAAAGACAACATAATGAAGTACCGATGATAATGCCGAAAGTACGATTTTCTCTCTATATGAACACGAAAAAAATATGCATTTCATTTTGTTTATCTATGAATTGATAATCAATTGTTTTAACTATGTCACAATCAACATTACTTAAAATTATTTATATTTTTTGATACATAGAATATTTATTAAAAAGAATAGGAGTCAAAATAAAAATAATTACCAAGGCAATTCTTTTCCCTCAAAGTCCCAAAATCGTCCACTTGTCTTTTCTCTTGTTGCTTCATCGATAACTTTCAACTGTCCTTGAACACTCTCTTCAATTGTCACTGGTGCTTCATCCAATCCAACGCTCGTCGCATAATGATTACCCATATCTGTTTGAACTAAACCAGGATGTATGGGAAAGGCAATGAGACCATCTTCTTCATGTTCCTGATGGATTTTCTTGGTCACATAGTTGACAGCTGCCTTAGATGCTCCATAAGTTGTCCTCGGCGCTGGAATCAATTCTCCAATCGATCCTAAAAGCGAGGATATGACCACGAATTTTGGGGCGCCCGACCTGCTCTTGTTCAAAAGTGGATAAAGTGCTTGGAAGAGAATGACAGGACCCGCGACATTGACTTCGTAGTGATCACGAATTTCTTTGATTGGAGTTGTCACGATTGGACCGTGATAATTCGAAATACCGGCATTTGCAATGACAACATCAATATAACCAGATGTCTTTTCGATCTTTTCTGCTGCTGCCTTGGCATCACCCTCCGAAATTGACTCGAGTTTGATAATGTGTATATTTTTTGTTTGCGAATTTAATTTTTGAAGTTCATCAGCCTTGCTAGGATCTCGCACACCAGCATAGATCAATGTATTGGCTCGTTTGGCAAGAGCTTGAACGAATCCAAGACCAATACCTCGATTAGCACCCGATATGAAGTAGATTGTTTGTCCTTGTGAAGACATGATAAGTATAGAAGAATATTGTAAATTGAGAAAAAGTAAGTGAAGCGTCTATTAATATAGGAAAAATAAAGTGTAGTAATAAGCATGATGGTGTATTTGTACATGCCTGGTTGTTCTCTTACTCCCTACGTATGTACATCTCTGACGTAGAAAAGGAAAGAAAATATTGAGTCATTATTACGCGGTATATTGTATTTATATCGTGGATGATTGATTTTTAGTACTGTACATCTATTTATATGAGAGATGAGAGAAAGAAAGTATGAATTATTGTTATCTTCATTTTCTATTATGTTTTTTTTCATATATTAACAGATTATTTGTGATAAAAAAAAAGAGTTATACAAATATCGTTGATGTTAACTATGTTTTGATTTTATTTAGATTTTGAAGTAAATTTGGTAAGAGAAGGTGTAGCTAACTAAAAATAGAATATATTTTTGAATAAAAATAATATAAATAGTGTGTAATGATGTAGTTTTGTGACGTTCAGAGTGAAAAAATATTGAAGTATCAAGTGAAATAAATGAATCATAACATTAGGTATAGCTTCAAGGATGAAATTGATTACATATGTGAATAAATCACAAAAAGATCTGATACATTTATTGAAGATATTATTCTCGCTTTTGTTATTCATGAAATTCGTCAAAAAAATCTGTCATATTATATAATTGACAAATGATTTTGAATAAACTTGTAAATTCAATTCAAATTTTTAGATGTTTATTCACAAGACACCAGCAGCATACTATGGACGAAGTATTAAAATTACATCAGATATACTCGAAGTTAATTGATTGATATTTATATTAGTTACTATTTATTTATTTGTTTGTTTAGAAATGGTATTCAGAATTCAATAATACTATAGAAGAATTTTAGAAATATTTACTTGTTGGTCTATTCGTATTAAATATCACAAAAATTTTATTAAGACAATTATTAAATGGGTATGTTTGTTTGATTATATTATATGACAAAAAATATTTTATTTTTATTTAGTTTGAGAAACATAAAAATCTTGAAATAAATAGTCGATGGTATGAATAATTAGCTGATTTAGCAAGTCAAAAATCATGTGAATAAGAATGGTGTCATCCTATCTATATACTTGTAAGGAAATTTGAATTTATCAAAATTAGGATAATAATCAATTCATTATATATCGACAAAGTACAGCGTTACTTAGTCATGGTTTTTCAAGTTGGCCTGCAGCGATCTCTCTTGGTGATTATTTGATGAAAAGAATACATCTTCTAGGAAATAAGTATTTATTATGAATTCTTATGAGAAAAAATTTCGATTTATTTTTTTCATAGATGTATCATTGAACTTGGTGCTGGATCAGGTTTACTTGGTTTAACTTTATTAAAATATTCAGCTAAAATTTTGTCATATACATTTACTGATTATTCTCCAATGATTTTAAATTTATTATGACAAAATGCTTTACTACATTTTTCTGAATATCAAATTGATGTAGTTTCATAAATATAGAATATAAACAATTTTCTAACAATTTCTTAGTTTAGGAAAAAATGAAAATTGAAGAATTAGATTGGAATCAATATTCAATAGAGAATAATCATCATAATTGTTTTGATTGTACTGTAGCTGCAGGTTAACAAATATATTCTATTTTTTATTTCATTGAAATTATTTGCCGGATATTTAGATGTTGTTTATGATACATCAGTGATTGAAAATTTAGTCAAAACAATTCAAATTCTTTTGCAAAAAAATCAACAATGTTCTGCTTACATTGCAAATACTGTTTGTAATAAATCAACATATGAACAATTGATTTAGTTCAATCATCTCTTGATGTACGATCTATTGGAATGGATATTTCTCAATCTATTGAAATTATTCGACTTACTATTTTGTTTAAAGATTCCATTCGCTATAAGAAAAGAAACAATGATACAATCTTCTACAGCTGAGGTTTTCAAGCAAAATCCGAAAATTAGAAGTACAAGAAATAAACTTCTAATTATTCTTTCAATTACATTGGTATGAATAATCTTTTTGCTGGAACATATCCTAAGCTGATAAACAATCTTGAATGATCATTTTTTATTGTTATTTTAGGTCGTATCAATAATTTCTGGTGTTTTAAGAATTTTTCTTTTCCCGTACCGTAATGCATCGTTCAATACTAATGCTAAAGATAGTTCGATGAACATGGCTTTATTTGTAATTCTTATGTTTCATCGTAAACTCTCAACTTTAATTTAATTATTCATACTTTCCTTTTCTATTTAGTTATTACAATAGTTACTTATATTGTTTTTATTATTACTGTATATATATATATATAACTTTGATCGAGCTGATATTCTTTTCGTAAGTATAGATTTGTTTTCTTTCTATTCTTGGTTTTACTTTATAGATTGCTCGAATTCATCAGGCCGTACTTTTTATATATGTTTTGATAATAATGATGAAATTTATTGGAAAAATTGGGAATTCGTGTTCTACAGTAAATAACACGTTTGGAGAAGCTGAAATAACAATTGATGTCGGTATATTCTGTATACACATTATATTGGCAGTAAGTAAAGAATGTTTCAAAATTTCCCGAGAAAAGTTTACATAAATATTTGGTTTACAACTCAAGCGATTTAATCGCTTCTATAAAATGATAGTATATTCTTTCAAGTATTTTTTTATATGCTTTTCTTTACAGCAAATGTTCAAAATGCTTACTACCAACTAGAATACATATATTCAACTAATTCTATTTTCTAATTCAGTCATATATTTTATAGGAATTTTTTAATGCAAGTTAAATCTAGTATATCTTTTCCAGACTCAGTCAATAGCCTTCGTTTCGTAACTCTATGTCAAACAAATTTAGTTGCTAACAAAACAATTGTTATCCTAATGTTTGTAAATATAAACATTTGTCTGAAAGTATACAGAACTAAACTTGAAGAATATTCTATTATTAATAGAAAAAAGCTACTAAACTACTTGAGTCATATAAGAGATATGTACGTAAACTGTTCTCGAAGACTTTTGGGACACTCTCTGTTCCTATGTTCGATATATATGTTTGATATTTTTATTTTAGATTTTAACAATTATCTATGCGCTCAAATTGGCTAAATTGATCAAAGTATTAACCGGTAATGCAATCGTTTAAAAGCTGAAAATCACAAGAAACTTGCACTTGTTTGATTTACCTAAATTTTAATTACAGTGAACCTCAACTAAATTATCCCTCTATGTTTTTATTGTCTTTATCATACAACTTCTTTTGTTTTTTAACTTCTCGTAGATAGAATGAAAGTGCAAAACGTGCTGCATCTTTTGGTATATTCACATTGAATAATAGATACAGTTTGAAGTATAAGAGTGTGTTGGAAAAAACGGCGACACTTCTTTACTATTTTTTACATTTTTTGAAGTGTGTGGGTGTTGATGTGGTCTTGTTTCTGATTTATTTTACACTCACACCGACTTCCTTCAAAGTTAGTAGTAGTTTGAGGATGACGACGATAATTTAGCACGAAAATGGTTGAGTTTCTAACTGATAATAAAAGAAAAAGTAAATTGAGATTTCTAGCTAACTGATCACGCCTGTAAATATTTAACTATTCCAGAAGCTTTTCACTAAATACATTATCCGCAGATATTGTCTAGTCTTAAAAACTTCATCAACTAAAAAATCGCTCACGTTCACGCATCTCATCTGGATTCACATTCTTTGGAGACCAACGTTGGTGGCCTTTCTCAATGCTCCAACACTTTTTGACTTGATTATGCGAAAGTTTATGAAGTTGTATATCATCAGTTGAGATTATTTCTGAAAAAACAACATCGATAGAATACTCGATCTGATATCTTCTCACTAGGAAACAAGAATGATATTCACTGTAGTGCACATTTGCGTATATTTATAATGAATATCAGTTCAATTTTTATTTTTCATCCGAAGATATTTCAAAATAACTGTCATATTTTGATAATCTAAGAGTCAAAATAGAAGTAGAGCTGGGTTTTATGATAGTAATATATTCTTCATAGCACTATCTTTTCATTTTTTGACTCTAAACTTCCCATAGATTTTTCTCTCAAAAGAAAGATAAACTGAATGTATTTAGACTTCAAGTAACAGTAATCTTGAATGTCTTTTTCTATCGTCAAAGGTGACACCGCTCCAGTGAAAATAGTGATTGTTGAATGTAATATTGAACACTTCTAAGCCTTATTTAACTATTCACTCTCAGTAGACAACTGAAGTTGTCTAAAGAAGCAGAAGGACGTTTCGAAGCTGAAGATTTGTATAGTTAAACTCAATGAATAGCAAATGCATCTCTTTTCGGTTGCCACGAAATACAGTCATAACTGATATTAGTATTAGAACATCGGTTAAGTTAAAAAAAATAACATAACTAAATGCAACAGTACTATCGAACATAAACAAAACAAATTGGATAAAAGAGTTTTCAAAGTTACAAAATAGATTCATACTGAACTTCTTTTTTTCGGTGGATATATTCTTGATGGTCCAGCCATTCAACGACAAAATCTTGAGAAATTTGGTAAAACTAGAACCATCATGTTTGATTAAACAGCATTGAATACAGAGTCGTCCTGAGTTCTTCAATAATCGCTAATAGCGATTCGCTATTACACATTTTAAGGTTCCATATTATTAGAGAGAAACTTTTCTGGCTCATTATCATCGGACAGAACGTCGCAGAGTTCTATTGCTGTCACAGAAAAACTTTTATCACTCGTCTTTACCCGCAATGACCTTCCAGATTTCTTCTACTATCATACAAAACCTTTTGAAGCTTTAATATAGTGACAGAAAACTTCAGGTTGATTTTGCAAGAACTGCGCAAACCCTCACATAGTTCTGAAAAAGCTTTGTTTTTTGCATGTACTATCACTCCCCATAACAAATATCAAAAAACTTAAACAAACATTAATAATACAATACATATTTCATTTCAAAAAGCAATTTTATTTATTGTTTTAGTGAAAAAATCATAACACAAAAAAAGATACCCGCATGATCATCACCAGCAATTTGTTCATCATACAAATACATCTAATAGTCTCACTCACGGTTTTCTCCCTTTTTTGTTCCGTTCAAGTAATTCTTCGATCACATGCATCGCATCATCTTCGATCTCATTCTCACAGACGTCTAGTTCGGTGAGTGTCTATATAGAGAAGTGGAAATCTAGACATCGTATAGATAAAGAGAAAGAGGGAATTACTGTGTTGTGTTGTAATGCATCACCCAAAAACTGTGCTCCAACATCTCCGATTTGATTACGCCAGAGATTTAGTATGGTCAGTGTCTGGATAAGAAAGTGGAAGTAAAAACTTGATATAGATAAAGAGAGAAGGACAATTACTTTGTTGTATCGTAATGCATCACCCAAAGATTGTGCTCCAGTATCTCCGATTTGATTCACTCCGAGATTGAGTGTGGTGAGTGACTAGATGAATAGGTGGAGATAAAAACATGGTGTGGATAAAGAGAGAATTAGACTTACTTTGTTGTGCTGTAATGCATCACCTAAAGATTGTGCTCCAACATCTCCGATTTGGTTGCTCCAGAGTTCTAGTGTGGTGAGTGTCTAGATGAAAATGTGGAGGTAAAGACATGATATAAATAAAGAGAGAATAAGAGTTACTTTGTTGTGTCGTAATGCATCAGCCAAAGATTGTGCTCCAGTATATCCGATTTGATTTCCAGTGAGGTTTAGTATGGTAAGTGTCTAGATGAAAATGTGGAGGTAAAGACATGATATAGATAACGAGTGAATAAGAGTTACTGTGTTGTGCTGTAATGCATTAGCCAAAGATCTTGCTCCCACATCTCCGATTTCGTTATTTCCGAGATATAATTCGGTCAGTTTCTAGATAAAAATGTGGTGATAAAGACATGATATAGATAAAGAGTGAATAAGAGTTACTTTGTTGTGTTGTAATGCATCAGCCAAAGATTGTGCTCCAGTATCTCCGATTCGATTGCTCCAAGGTTCTAGTATGGTAAGTGTCTAAATGAAAAAGTAGAGGTATAGAGATGATGGAGATTAAGAGATAGAATAGTTCTTTAGTGTTATATGGAGTTAGAGAAGTGACATGAATTTTGTTCTGGTCCAGCTTTAGTACCTATGTATACTAATATGAATTTTTATAGGATTTAAAATGCTGCATTGTGTGCGATAGTATTTTGTCGGAATCTAGACTGAGAAGAAGTAAAAAGGGTGAAGTAGTGATACAAATATTTGATCTGTGAATTGCTTTAATTTCTAAGTGTTTGTGAAATAAGGAAGAGTTTTTCGTTAATGAAAAATAGTTTGCAGGTTACTTCTGCCCAAAACAATTGTGAATTGCCGTATTACGTATGTGTCCAATTAACCGTTTATTGCGGTAAATAGTCTAGAGCATAGTAAAGTATTATGCAGCGC